ATCCCACCCCAGGGGAGGACATCCATCACACAGTAATCTCGTGTGTGGGAAATTAACGTCTCCTACCCCAACCCTGCAGGAGACGGGACCTCCATTTATTCATCCCTATCCAAGAAGACTAGAATATCTAACCATTTATTGATGTTATAGAAAGGTAGCAAATTCTTCTCAATTATTTTAAGACCCTGAGTGTTGGTCCGGCCGGGACTCGAACCCTCGACCTCCCGCACAACAGTCCAGCGCTCTATCCATTGAGCTAACCGGGAGGCTGTTGAACTCAGTTGACATAGGTCCTGGCATGCACTGATTGCCAGTTTTCTGGTTGCAATAATTTTCAACAGGAGAGAATAATGAAATTGCAATACTGCCAGTTGTTTTTTCTTCTCACCTATCTAATGAACTTTGTGATGAGCTTGGAGTGGTTGGTATGGCTTTATCTTTCTCTTTCTTTCCCTGTATGAAGAGAGAATGACAGGTCATCGTAAAAAAAAAAAAATCTGGATAATTATATATAATAATTATGTGCTGAGGGACTAGGTATATTGCCATTTCTGGTGGATTTCACCAAGTTCTCTAACAGTCCACTGATAACCAGTTTCATTTTCATGTATACTCCAGGGTGAAGTACACGATGTCCCAAACCTCTCAACCCATGGTTCAGCATACATTGTATGAAACATCTAGATATTGCATGTTCCACTTGTCTTCATAGGAATAAAATACTCTACTTTCAAACAACGAACAATGATTGCACAATCATTTACTTTAAAAGTAACTGCATCTCTTTTGTTCCACCAATGAGACACAAAGATATGTAAGACCAGGCAAAAGCATAGTGAGTGGAGATGACTAGTCAGAAGGCCTGTCGAAAAATTAAAGATGAAAAGAAAGGGCTGAAGTCTACAAGATAATTTGATCTTATCAACTGAGTTAGTAAATTGGCCTCCATAAAGAGTTTCGTGTGTACTTGTTGAATGCACACTCTAGTTCCAAAATCCTACATTCTTTTGAGTTTCCTAACCATTCACTCTCACTAAGAAGGTAAAAAAAAGTAACTCTATTACACCAATCAACTTTGCTAGCCACTTACTGCCTCTCCAGTTTGTTTCCTTGCCCAGTTAACACTCAGAGGTTTGGACAGAGCTAGTTTGCCATTCAATCCAAGCAGTGCATTTTCTGCTTCCTAGAGAATTTATAGAGTAAGACCAAACCAGAAAAAGATCAAATGATAGCCCTCATCATCTTGTATTACTGTAATGACATCATCATGTAGCACTCTGTCAACTATCCACAGACCTGGAATGTTTTAAACTCAACAAAGCAATAAGATGGCTCCCCCTCTCTTGCACCAGATTTATGAAAATGGAGGTCAAAGCTCTTGATCTCACCAAACCGCTGAAGAATTTTCAGCAGATTATACCTATAATACACAAAATAAAGACATTCATCTTTAGCTTAAAAGATGAACCCATGGATAGTCGAGATAAAAACAATTATAAGGATTCCCACAACAATAACAGTTTCTATGAGATGGGAACACCCCTGATACATGATAAAATTATTTCCTGAAAAACCAGCCTCTCATTTAAATTTGCAATTGGCTTGAGAACATGAAGCACCTCTTTAGACAGGCAGTCAAACTTATTCCTAAACATAACAAGCACATGGAATTGATTAATCATTCTAACGCGTTTAAATTTTTAGGGAGACTAGTGGAAAAAATCACAAATTCAGGGGTTAAAGTTGAAGATGGGATCCAAAATTCAAAATCTTCAAATTTCAGATCACAAGAGGTTGGTATATCAGCTACTAACTATGATATCAGTTATCTGCTGATGTTCTTGGTAAGCAGGTGTTCCATAATTCGTATGTTACAGCTTTTGCATAAGCCTGGCGCAGCACAAAAGGGAGGATCTTTTTTACTAAGGATTCTCGATAATACATAACCACACTGAAGGGGTAACATAGACTAAGTGTAACGCCATATCAGCTCAATTTGTAAAAAAGCTCTGAGGTGTCTTGATAAGCTGTTCACTCACTCGCTCAGTCGCTTGTCTAAGTTACCAACCCATAAGGTCAATTTGTTATCCACACAACCTTTGTCCTAAAAAATAAAGAAAATAATTTTGAAAAGAGTGAAACAAAAAAAAAAACTAGTCATTTGGAAAATAATCTCACAATTTACAGGTATACCTTTCCGTCACTAGAAGCAGCCATAATAGATACATTCCCATTACCGTTACACAACGTGCTCTCTTTAAGAACTCCCTCGATCCAGGCCTTTACGTCCAGTCATGACAATGGCAGATAGGGGGGAAGAAAGTCCTCCACAAAGGTCAAGCAAGCATTCTAAAGAATCAGCTCGTAAGGTATGTCTTAAAATGTAATCCTATAACATGTTCTTCCTTTTTTTAATTGAGGTGCGGTATTGAGGGACCACACCACACCGCCCTCTTCGGATTTTCCATCTTTCATAACCGAGAGAATCGCTTCAAATAAACAAACAAGAAACTTTTGTTTTAACACTGTAACTTAAGCGGGCCCTGTTGGAGATTACAATTTTGACACTCTCTGAGACACTCTTGTCCAAGTACCAAGTGGTGCACGAGAATTTTTGTTTTAATTTATAATCCTGTACATGGTAGGAGTCAAGGAAACATAGAAAAAGAAGTCGAAGTTCTCAATCAAGCTCTGATAGTTCAGGATCGTCAAGCAGTTCCAGCAGCCCAGTAAGGTAGAGGGATAATTACTCGTACAGCTCAACTAATGTAAGAGAGTAATTGTAGAATTTCACTTGATGTTAAGTTATAACGAGTTAAAAAGAACATCTTTATTTTAAAGATTGATATACTCAGATACTCAATATTATGTTTTCACCCATTGTTATTTTGATGATAATTATATGAAAAATAAATTACACATTAGGAAAAAATCAAGAGTCTCCAAGTTGAAGAAAAGAAAGGCAAGGAGAAGTCCATCAACAGAAACAGACAAAAGTGTTGATTCAAATGACTCAGAAAAGAAAAGACACAGAAGGAAAGAAGACCAGAGAAAACAGGTACCAGAGCCAATTATATTATATTATGGTGCAGCACAATGTTTACTCTGAACATATTTAGGAAAGTATTTTAATTTTTAGCCAAGTTGAAAAAGTTTCATATCTTGATGTGTCCCAAGCATTACAGTTCACTTCTCATAAGGGCCATTTCCAAATTACATTCCAAAAAACCTCCACTTCAAATCATGAGAAAACCACTGATTAATATGATTTTCAGAAGAATAAGAAAAATTCTTTATATAGAGAGCTTTACACTTTCATGCAGATGGGACTAACTCTGTTGAAATGGAGTCCTTGGCTCACACACATGCTGATTTACAATGTGGGATGAGATGCTTTTGTCAAAGGGCCATTGAAAGCCTTAGTTGGAGGCTAGCGTTTGGGCCATCTTGGAGAAAGCCCATTTTACATCTAAAGTTCTTGCATATGGTTATTTGAAATTACCAGTATGTGGCCATGCTACCAAAATTGTCTTATATTCATTTGGCTTCTATAAACTCATTTTTAGAGAAAAAGTTAGAGTTGGGCTCTTTGGATTTGTAAGATAGGAATGAAGCAGCCTTCAAATTGAAGTAAGAAAGAACTGATAGTATTCTAAGGGCATAGCTTGGTTTGTCATAGGGCAAGAAAACTAGGAAAAAGAAAGAGAAAGCACGGAAAAAAGAAAAGAGGTCAAAGACAGCTGTCAATCAAGACAAGTATGGTAAATATGGAATCTTGGTGGAAAGTGACATGTTCAATAAACAACAAGAATTTTACTTGTGGCTCCAAGAAGTCAAGAAAATAAACCCTGAAGTGTTTCCTAGATCTGAAATGAAGAAAATGTTTGAAACTTTTGCAGAGGACTATAACACTGTAACACTACCACATAAAAAGTAAGCAATAGTTAACTGTAAAACAAAGTTAACACTATTTTGAATTCTAATGTGACTGACCCCCAGTTATCATGACATGTCAGTCAGGGTTAAAAAAATCTGAGATGTGCTTCTCTCTCAGATGTAGAGTTATTATAATAATTGAAACAGTATTTGATATGAAAAAGTCTGTGAAATTCAAAGCATTTTTTCTTCTTTTTCGTTGGCCGCAAGGGCTCATTGAAAGACCTCAAAAAACTGCCCAGCATTAATGATCTCCTGGTGGGGCATAGTGTCTTTCAACTTTGCTTTATTGCCAATAATATTCTGGTTGTGTCTCTGAGACCTTTGGTGGAAAATGGCATGTCACTTCTCTTGGCTGCCAAAGATCAGTTCAAGAAAATACTTTTAGAATGGTCTCAGTAGTTAGGTGTTATTATCAATTATTATTAATATTTATTTGCTCATTTATTTATTTTATGGTTGTGTGTGTGTGTGTCTCATGTAGTGTTAGTTGGACAAATTTTTAATAACCAAACGTTGAAAATTACTAACCATTAGTTAACGGGTTACCGTTAATTTCGAGCCCTGATGTTGCCATGGGTTTGTATAGTAATAATCACAGAAAACAGCAAAATATGGTAAATTAAAACATCTGTCAGTGAGTCATTGTTTCCTCTCGCCACATTTCCATGTCATCTGTGGTCTTTTACTGAACTGAAACATTGCAAGATGGAATCTATCAGTTAAACTGATAATCCACAAAAAAAAGGTAAACCTCTACATTAAGATTATATTTTTGTTTCTTCGTACAGGAATGAGCAAAGCAGATTTACTTGAAATGCAGCGAGTTATGCGAGAAAGACAACAGGAGGATTACAAGAAAAAGGCTGGCATGAAACTTGATGAAACTAAGGGTGTGAGATATCACACAATGAATCCATAACTTGTCACTTTATTTAACAAAATTTTAACAGTAAATATTATATACATAGCATTTTTCAACGTTCAGTCTTCACTATCTTATTGCCCAAATATTTTTCTTTTTTATTTCCATGCTAATTTTGATCTTTAGTAATCTTTAGTATCATGCGGTGTGAAATAAACATTCCAGCATTGTACTAGAAAATAGGTTTCACTACAGTTCTTGATAAATATAAAAGTTAAGCATAACACAACCTTCACTCAGAAACATTTTGTAATACCTAGAAAAATATAGCCTTAAGCTTATTGTACACTTTTGTCATTTGTTGTAACTTATTGTATAGGTTGCAATGAAATGATGAAAAAGCTATCTTCTTCCTCCAGAAAGAAAAGTTCTCTTCTCATTTCATACTTTGGCTTTTCAATTAAACTCCAACTCTATGTGTTTTCAGAGTGGCTCACATCCTGGCTTTTGTCACTTTGGGCATTGCAGTCTTTGTTTAATGTGCAGCAGCAGCAACAGAGTACTTCAAAATACTCTACTTCTATATTTAATTTGCTTTTCAACTGATAAATATAGTTATCAAAATGATCACTAAAGTTGGCTGATTATCCAGGGTTGAGCAGTCCTGAAAAGGACTGTTGCTGGCAGCAGTGACTGACATTTAAACAACCTGAGTCAAAGTCACTCTGAGTACAAGCGACTTTGATGATAATTTCCTCTTTGGTATGCAAACATCAGTCACTAAAACTGCAAACAGTCCTTATCAAGACCACTCTCACCTGAACCATCAGACTGATTGAACAACTGCTACTCCTTGGTTCAAACCTTTTGCTGCTCTGCATTAAGACTCTTTAAATAAATACATTAAAACAGTGATGCATCCTAAAATGTGAAGGTTTCATGTGGTTTGATACAAACTAAGAGTCTTGTAAAGGGAAGTAGAAAGTGGGCTTAATATTTTGACATGCAATTTTCAGTTTTCCTCAACAATGGAGTTCTCCACCTTGTTAAATTGGTAGGTCTCAAATAAAGACTTACATTCTATACTGTTTTTATCAAATTCCTGCAGAGTGGATAAAAACTGTAAAGCTTTATGCTTGTCAATTCTTGAAGGTTTACTGGAGTCTTCTGATCTTTCTACATTTAGAATACAATCTTGGACATCAGAATTAAATGTATGATGTTGCTGAGAAGTCTTTGGGTCATTAAATGAAAATTCCCCAGAGTGCATTCTTGCTGGCTCTACTTCCATAGACTCTGCTAATGTACCAAGCACCTTAAATTGCAAGGTCTTTATTTCCTCTGTAGTTCTCTGATTCCTTCCCTGCATGGAGAGAACATTTTTTTCACTGTTACTTGAAGTGTGTCTTCCTACCAAATTCCTTATCAGTGGAATTGTAAATTTTATTGTCCCTGTAAGTTTGACTGATTGCCTTCTTTTTCGTGACTGGCAGTGCTCTTCTATCTCTTTGTCTTTCATACTGCTGATTGATACAAATCTCCTTTTCTTTGAGACTCTAAAAGCCTCAGCAGAAGTTGGTGGTTCATCAAGGTCCTTTCCATCACACCATGGAAAACAGTGTTTCATCTGAACAACTTTAACATCACCAGCATGTTTAGGCTTAAGAATTATTGACTTTTTTGTAGCTGCAGTTGCTTTAGAATCCATGATTTCCTCTTAACCTTGCTTCATGGAGTTTTTGCTCTGAAACAATTTCACCAAATAGGTTAGATTAGGATAGTTTGAAAGAATCTGAACTCTGGCCTACATCTGTTTTCATCTGAAAGCCTAATGCTGATCTCTTACTGCTGATGGGATGAAAATTTGGTTAATTATTTATGTTCTGGTCATTAGGCCTACACAGGCCTAGCTGCTGGTGCTGAGCTGCACACTGGCAAAACTGTCTGTCTAAATTGTCTTCAGGCTACAGAATCAGAGACAGATACAGGTTTTTTCAGCTTTTTCCGTTGGGGAAAGAATCCAGACTTTGATTAAGAAAACGGAGAAACTGTTTTTCTCGTGACCTCCCCCCCGTCGCCCTTCAGTCACGGTTACGCAAAGCAGGTTGTGGGAAGGTAGTTCACATCTGAATTCTTTCATGAGGATTCACCACTGAGAATCTCAGCTCAGACAAAGGACAATAAGATTTAAACTAAGGCCACCACTGAGGATCCCAGCTCGGACGAAGGACAAAATTAATTTTAAACTAAGGCAGACTACAATTAATTTTGGGCAAGATTTCCATAAACCTGATGAATACAGTTCTTTGATAAAAGAAAACTACGGTGCAAACGATATATTACCTTTAGTACCAAGTTTTTGTTTGGGAATATCATGTGGTCATATGGAAACCCATCCAAATGCAAAGCAAGAGTCGAAGCGAAGTTCCAAACAAGAAAAAAAAATGGTAGGATGCATGGGACGCCGAGGTACGGTTTGAATACGACGTATATAAATACGTTGATTTGATCTGATAGAAATATGAATAAACTACATCTTTTGCTGATCTTAACTTGCTCTCTGGATGTTAGAACCTTGCAAACAACAAATTCGTACCTGGTTTCAGTCGTTTACTGTTATTTTCAATCTCGCGTCCTTAATCAGTCTGCCCAGTGCTTTTGCGCCAGACTTTGGCGGTTAATTTGGGAACCAGACAATCCAAAATGGCGGATAGACTTGCTTCTCAAACGCTACAGAAATTTGCGGAATTAGAAGAGCTCGCTCAAGAAATCATGGAAGATAAACAACAGGTGTAAATATATCAAAGTGAAATACTTGCATGTGAGGGTAAAATTAGTTATTTCTTGCCATGCGAGAGATTTCAGATGAAGAAGACGGAGTTCTCTCGCGTTAGACGATTAAAAATTAATTTTAAAACTTCTTCGTACCCGATCGCTTCTGTGCTTATGCTCTACTCGTCTTAAAGGTCGGTTACAACTCTTCTGGCACTCAAAGATTTAAATTTCAATTACAGCTGATAAACTAATACAAATGCACGTGACTTTAATTTCATCATTTTTGGTAGATAGTCGAACTTGATAGGCAGAGGAATACGAATAGAGAGGCTCTTCGGATGCTAAAGAAAGAGGACAAAAGTGGAAACAATGGGGCGTCATGTAAGCTTGATCAGTTTACAAGTGAATTTTTCATATTTGCACCTTCACCTGAACCAGGGGATAAAACAGCACATACATGCTGGTGAAAAAAAAAGACTTTCTGTTATAGCAAGTGGCCCAGAAATGTTAAAAAGGCGCCTAGGCACTTATTCAATAAAATATGGTAATTTGTGACTTGATCAAGGTTTGATTACTGGCATAGGTCCTAAAATGTGGATTACTCCCAAGACAGTACTCCCACAGTGAGTTTCTTGTGGATACATCAAGGTAAATCTTTGAGGCAGGTGTGATACTTACAATTCTCATACAGGGGAAAAACAATAAGATGAGTATTTCATTTAAGAAGAATCAAATAGGTAATTTTCTTAATTGCAGCTTCTAAACCTTGGGTGTGCTTTGGAAACATGTTCATCAAGCTTCCAAATGGTAATGTGCAAGCAATGTTGCAACAAGGTGAGCAATGACATTAAGGTGTCTTCTTGAAAGAAATGCAAACCTAAACTTGATAGTGTACATCTTCCTTTTTTTTCATGAAGATCAGAAGAACTTGGATGAGGAAGTAAGCAGGCTGAGGAAAGAATTAAAGCCTAAAGTGTCAAAGCTTCATGAACTGGAAGGTTTGTAGAGGCTGATTTTTATTGCATTCAGAAGTTACTGTTACCCATTTTGGCACCTGACAAGGTAGTTTGATCAAGATTAAGCTTTGTGATGTGTGTGGCTCACCACTGTTGTCAGCAGCATGAAGTGATCAGGCCCCAGTTGTCTAAATGCAAGATAACACTATCTATTGGATAAATCCCTATCTTGTGGATAGTGAAGTACCATTAGATTTTGTTAACACCCATCCAGTGAATAGCATTATCCAACCTTTGAACAACGGGGGCCAGGAGTATTGTTATTCTTCCTGGGCTGGATGCCTATTTGTACCTTAATAACGCTCGGAAGTATTCCTTCTTATTCAGGATTGCCAGAGGTGAAAGGATTCGACTTAACTGCTTTGACAAAAGATGATTTGCAGAGTCTGGAGCCATGATTCCTCCAAGTAGGAGGAGACATGGTTGCAATACTACCTTGCACGTGGACTCTTCACTCTGTGAACAAGTCATGTAAGGCTGAAGAATATGACAAGATACAAATCTTCAGTTGTCAAAACAGCAAAGGTATACCTTTGGAGGAAGGGAGAGAGAACTGGGGTGCAAGTGATCCCCCAGCTTGACAAGAAAATCCTGCCTACACCTTGGAAGAAAATGCAAGATATGATTTCAGTGAACTTTAGAGCATCATTGTTTACACATGGAACACTAGAAACTGATCCTTGCCTTGTTTAATATGTTATTATCGCCTGACTTTTGTTTTGGACATTTCCATCAGTTGAAAAAGCAGCAATAAATATTCACTATTCTTAAGCCAAGATATATCCATAACTATACAGATTATCAGTTTATTAGGAGTTGGTTGACAACAGAAATAGATGTTTAATAACACCCTTCCATAATAAAAATAAAAAACCTAAATTGTACATCATAAATCCCCAAACTGTAGATAATATTTTATTTACATGAAATTTCTTCACTTGATTCAGAAATTTGATATTTACAACACCCCTCACATTCTGCTGCACACAATTTGTTAATACTTTGTACATACATGACAACATTAACTTTTTAACTGGCTAGTGGAAATAAAAAACCACTAGCCAAAACTGAATTTCTACTAGTCTGTGGCTAGTGGGCTACCGTTAGTGTTGAGCCCTGCTTGATTGTGGATTTTCTTGAGCTGTGCTTGCATAAAATGTGTTAACCACTGAAAGCTGGCTCTTCTGGCTTTCCTCGTCATAATTATGCATTCATTATCACATCTTCTTCAAAGCCTGGGCATTCTTGAACACTTGCTTCAGTTGTTTGTCACGATCGCTGTTGTCGCATCCTAAAGTTTATGAAAAATTGTTATGACTACAGTTTACAAAGATTGAAATGCAGCCATTTGGGTCAGATGGCTAATGGAGAATATGCCAAACAATTTTACAATGGGGAACCTCTGGAAACAAAGTAGCTTTGTGATATGTTCTCATGATACAGCATCTCTCTATAACACAGAGGCAAGTTCTACTATTCCCCCCCCCCCCCCCTCAATCTCTTCTGACTTGGTGGTCACATGTCAACTTTCATAATACTGCTCATCTGTAAAGTGTTTTTAACCAACAGGTGCACGACATCTCACCTAAGAATGTATTTGTTGGGTGTGGTGGATTTGGAATACAGTCTGCTCCACTTGTATCATCCATGTACACTGGTCCATCATTCCACATCAAGTCAAAACCTCCTACGCGTTTCTCTCTCCCTGTCAGTCTACAAAAAAAAAGGAAAATTACATGAACAAGAAAAAGAAACTGTGCCCAAACTCTTTGTACTAAGAACACTGCTATTTAAATTAAAAGCTAATAAACTGTATTTGATTTCTTTAAAATTTTCCCAGTCCTAAAGAAAACAGCTAAGCAATCCAGTGCAACTTATTTGTCTTCACACCATTGAACAGTGCACCTGTTTGATGTTTTCAAACTTTTAAACAACAGACTACACTATGACACTCTAAATTATCATAAACTGAGTTTGTTTTCCACTTTCCAGTCCATTCAGTACATAGTTTAAAACAAAAATCATGTGCAAAACCAGAACAGGAAGTTAGCTCAGCAACCCACACTTCATTAGTATTTATTTACTCGCATCTAAGACGTTGACTGAGAAAAAACACTTAAACATTGTACCTGTTTTCCATGTCTACAATGTGAAGCATATCCTCCAGAAGACGGCACTTCAGTTCGTAGTCAGATTGACTACTGGCAGTCAGTGATGGTGATGCATTTACTTCAATCAACCAACTACAAAGATCAAATACTCATCAATCATCTATAACATGTGGCCTTCATTTGATTCTGAGAAGAGTGGAGAGTGCTAAATCTGTGAAAGATGCAAGGCATCTCAAGGATGACAATGAGAAATTTATCAGGTGCTTTGCTGGTTGTCTATATGATATAGACAACACCTGATATAATACCCACCATCATTCAAGAGATCTAGGGTAAACAGTTTTGACCCTGTGACCCTTAGAGTGAGTAGTATCCAATTTCTCCTTACAATATCACCCTGAATGTCACATTGAGGTCACGAGAATGAAGGGAATGATCACCAACTAAAGAAGTTCTTGATTGTTAGACAAATTCTCCTTACAGAACCTTAGGAAATGTATTGAGAGCAGTATGGAGAATATGCCTATTGAAGTTAGAATGATAAAACATTCATGTTTCCTAGAAGCACAATTAAAAATGAACTTACGGTTTGAGTTTAGAATCTACTAGAATATCATAACCATATCTAGACCATGTTAAGGAAGAAATACCCCCCCCCCCCCAACTGTTTTCCGAAAAACTTGCGCAGCTGAGGTCCCCCCCCCCCAAAAAAAACAAAAACAAATATTACAAGATATGAGGAGAAATAGTTTTGTAATTTGTGAACAGTCTCCTAAACCACATGAAATACTTTGGGTACTGGTAATTTTTTAATTTCCAGTACGTCAGTAATCTGGGAGCTTTCATAACCGACAATGCACATTATAATTACCGTTATCTGTGATGTTCAAAGGATACAACTCAAAACAGTGTTTATCATTTATCATAATTCTTTGAACAGCTTGTATGCTTTTTATATAGATGTTATCCATGTCCCTCACCAAGGTCTCAACCTGACAAAAGGTGTTATAAATTAATAAAATTAGATATTGTATCTAGAATTCTGGTAACAAACTTTGAACAGAATAATAACTGTATCCCTAGAGCGTAAAAATTGTCATACAAGGTAAATGAGCCTGTACAATAAAACCCTTTGGGAATGTTACATAAACTTTGAAATAGGCTTAGCCACAACTTATTTCTAACCTTTTCCAAACCATGCTTGGCCACAAGATACCTCCTCAGCTGTTGTAGAGACCACTTGCAGCCCTGGAAATATCCAATGGAAAGTTCATTTACAAATTAGTGGATTGCTCACTCAAACAAGCAACTTCAACTGAATTAAGTATTTAAAAACAGAAAAATTTGGTAGGTCACACTTCTGAATTAAAACCACTTTATATTATCCCCAGACTGTATTTTCTTCCCTTGTTTCCATTGGGAAAATTTAAGTAATTATAATCAGTTTACACCCAACTGAGTGCATCAGTAAAATACCTGTGTCATTAAATTCTATTACAACTATGTCATTCTACTTGTGGTAAAGCTTTCCACTAAACCTCTCCTACACCCTGGCATGGGCCATCTTCTGTCACACATACCTTTTCAGCATCATAATCAGGAGCAGTTTTCTGAATAGCAACATTGGTGAGATGCACATCTGGTGATTAAAAGTCAAGGAGTTTTAACAGCTGAGATTGTGAAAGAATAAAAAAGTATTAATTCACACACACTGAATTAGGAGGAGAAGGGCACACACATGAGCTAAAATAATATTTTACACTTACAAGATGTGAATGGATCTAAACATTGGTGCTTTGTTTTCCTAATCAATAATAAAGATTAAAAGTCTTAAGCCTTTAATTTGTTCCTTTCAATTCTGTAAACAATGCAGCAAGGTCATACAAAAGTCATGTCTTTCATGGACATCTTTCATGTCTTGTTTTGACAGGAAAAGGATACATGTGTCATCTATTGAATCTAAAGAGAATCTTGTATTTGAAAATCTTGCAAATCCTTCTCTGTAGAGCCATGCACACATAGGAACATACTGCCAGGAGAAAAATAATGATTAAATTCAAACTACTTGTCTGGAAGTGATAAACCATTGTTAGTATAAGGTCCTTTCTACTAACTTAACACAATATTTGTCCCGATCAGGATGATGTGAAAGTTCCTCTGTAATACATGTAAATGGAATTAATGGAGTTACTTACTGATGTTACTAGAACATACACTCTTAAATCAAACTTCCTGCCTGTAACAAAGGACAAAAAACAAATGATCAAAAGTTTTGATTCAAAACTAATAAGACCAGTTCCTTACAACAAGCACTTCTTTACATAGAAAGTCACTTGCCAGAGAACAGTATAACAGAAAATACAGTTTATGAATAGCATCAGTTCAAAGAATGGAGGTACAAAACTCATTCAGTTACAGAAACAACTGCAATTGCCATATATAAGTGAAATGTGAACTCACTTACCCCCAATTAAATAAGGATCCTCAACATAACGTTGAACGATATATGCCTCTGGTGGTTCTTTTTCATCTTTCTGAATTCAGAATAAAACAAGAAATTCACAATCATAAAATAGTAATATCACTAAACTCTGATAAAAAAATAATTCTTTAACTTCCACATGTGATTAAAATTCAACTTCTTCCTATAATATCCATTAGGCTCTCCAGTAAACAGGTAATAAGAAATTGCTCAACCTTATCAGGAAGTTGTTATCTTGACCTAACACCAAATTCTCATGACTAATTTATAAGGATAAAGGCTGATAGTTTCTAAAGAAACTGTTTGGGGCTGCGTTGGTGGGGGTAACGAAATAATTTGGATATATCAACAAAGTTGAAATGGTAAATTGGCCACCGTAACGATTACAAAAGCTGACATTTTGAGCGTTAGCCCTTCGTTGGAGCGAATAGAGGAATTGTGGGTTGTGTGTGCTTTTAAAGGCAGAAAATGGAGCTACGTTATTGGTGGGAACATGGCAACGAGAAAAACAAGAATAAATTAGGGGAATGAAAAGCGTTCATTGATCCCTGTGGGATTTAGACTGCCGGTTTGAAAGATGAGCTTTTGTTCAAGAGTTTTACGGCTTTCCGTGCTACCAAAGTTTGTAAGGAAAGACCGCAGATTGCCATATGTTGCATAGAATGATTAGGTAAATTAAAATCTCTAGCGACTGGTTTCGATGTGTCCTTGTCATTCCTTTCCACGTCTCGGTGTTCTCGGAATCGGTCACCTAGTCTTCTGCCTGTTTCGCCGATGTATATCTTTTTGCAATAAGTGCAAGTTATGTAATAGATTACATTGGCAGAGGTGTATTAATTGGCGGAGGTGTATTAATTGGCGGAGGTGCATTGGCAGAGGTGCATTGGCGGAGGTGCATTGGCAGAGGTGCATTGGCGGAGGTGCACGTGCATTTAGAAGGAAATTTGTAGCAGCTAGAAGGGAGAATTAAGAGTCAGGTCTTGGGAGTGTAAGGGTTAAAAGGGAAAGAGAAAGGGAGGAAGATAATAAAATAGTGACAGGATAACACTGGATCAAACTCTAGAACTGCCAGAAAGTCACAAGAAAAGTAGAATATGAGTTAAAAAAAAATTGTCCTCACATCATTGCTCTACAATGGTCAGAAATTAAAGTAAAGCCAAGAAAAAAATAACCTTTCTAA